GAAACCGAAAATTACCAAATGGAGCCGAAATTATTGGTTACTTTTGTTTATCGTTATCAGTATGGTATGAGAGTTACTAAACCATTTTAAATTCGGTTCATTTGGTAAATTCCAAAGAAATCGATGGTTAACCGAACTAACTGAACATAAGAATCATTACCTTGATTTTTCTCAGAGGGGAAAATATCCAGTGATACAGCCCATCACATGATACGCTGCTACTGGACCACCTGGTGTGTTCGATCTGGGTGGACGGGCTGGATCAACTCACTTCCACATTTACATATGCCCCCTTGTACATTTACGTCTTGGCCCCTAAAAAAATTATGTCCTCACAAAATCACTATAGACCTTCACCTCTCTCCTCCAGCTCCCCCTTGTTCTCAATTTCTCACCAACAGGTCCAGAAGACCCCATCCGGCGATCCAATTTGTCTCAAACTAAGAGCGCCTTTGTTAAGCAAACATACACTACATCATTTGGAGGACATTGCAAGTAGCCAAGTGCTTGTATAGAGTTTGTCTTTTTGTACAGATTCAGATTAATTGGAACACGAAAAAGAGATGGAATGCAGACATGCTTAATCCTTCCAAAATGAGGTGCTCCATATGTACATGCAGAAGAAAATATATCGCCATCCGTTTGCATTGCTAACTAATACTGAAAGCATGAGCACTATGATCACACGACAAATACAGAGAACATAAATTTTCCAGGACATGAATCATTTCATCTATTCTCATTCTTCTAGGACGCCATCCAGTGGCGGGCACCAAAGCACACCTACACACAAGTCATAACGTGAACAGATAGAAATGCTGCTATTGTCAATATCTCATCAGAGCATTCAAAATCATATGCTGACAAGCTCATTTTTCAGATCATGGGCTCTTGCACAAAATCAAACAGTATTGTTAACAACCTCTTGACTTGAGAAGAGAACATTATTCACCAAAATGTAAGTAAACCAGTTGTAATTAAAAACAGTACAAGTATAAATGTATGATAGAGTAGGCTTGCACAAGTATGGAACGACATGAAATCCTGTAAGTAAATTGTCAACACAGCAGCATAATTTCACATGCTATCAGAAAGTCATTGAGCACATTCAGTAGACTAATACTGTAAGTCTGAAGGTTGAGTAGATAAATAAAGCATAAGAGCATATATAAACTCGTCAAACAAGATGCATAATAACTAAAGTTCTAGGTAATGAACCTTACTGATCAGTCTGTGAGGCGTTAAAACTAGCAAATAGCAGATTCAGTACAAAACAATGTAGCCGCATCGGAAGAATAAGTTGACATTTTATTATTGTTTTCTTTGTGAAGTGCCAATTACATTAGTACTAAATATTTGACATTATACATGCAGGGAATTTGTATTATATTATCATCCTTCGCACTTTTTTCAGTTGTGCATTCCAGGGACAGGAGTCAAGTATCACTTATTCTTATGAGCTGATAAAGAGAACAAGTCATTTCCTGGTTGGCTCTATGTTGAATTCGAAATATCATTATTGATTAGTAAACCTTGAGGCCAAATACGAGTGTCTATCAATGATCGTTTATCCAGTAACCAATGTCAGATCATAGAACAGAAAAGATAACCTATGTGTATGCTTTGTCATGTTCAAAGCATCTATTCATGAAATGTTATAATGCTTCTTATGTTTTGGTGACCGCAACACATGTTTGTTGTGTAATCATGTCTTGTCTTCTTACAGGGCCATAGAATTTTAATATCACTCAAGGGCTGTGATGTTTCTCATATGTAACAATGCTGCCCAAGGTATTATTTCTTTGTTCTTCTTCAAGTATGCAGGTAAATGTTCTACCTTGCAATCTTCCATCTGTTTAAACATTAGGTAAGTTTTGATACAGCAAAATATATACTCCCTCCGTAAAGAAATATAAAAGCATTTTAGTGATCTAAATGCTCTTATATTTCTTTACATAGGGAATACACAATTATGCAATGCAGTAGAGTATTTACTGTGAAACTGCTATTGGCATCATCTTCAAGCGCAAGTGGAGTAGTGGATCCTATGCTCTGACCAATACTCTCTATCGGCTCCATAATGGACTGCTTGGTGCAAAGGAAATATGCAAACATTTATGCAGAATATCAGTTGGTAACACTGCTGGAACATGCAAAAAAAAAGTTAAGCTTGACTATCTTGGCAATTACATATCTGCAAATCAATGGCCAACAACGATCGATAGATCTTATAGGAGAAAAAAAGGAATAGCACAAAAATCATACCGATGAGAGGATGACTGAGATCGGGATTCTTTTTGACTTGCAGATTCTCAGTTACCAAAACAGCACATCTGGGGGACCTATTTCCTAATTCCTAGTATGAATTCATTGGCAAATAAAGGCCTCCCAGAGTAATTCGTGGTAGGCTCCTACTCCCTCCGTTCCAAAATAGATGACCCAACTTTATACTAAGTTTAGTACAAAGCTGAGTCATCTATTTTGGAACGGAGGGAGTACTTAGCAAGGGCTACATTGTGGGAAAACATTCACGAGACAATCTTATACTCCCTCTGTCCCATAATGTAAGACATTTTTTGATATTAGTGTAGTGTCAGAAAACATCTTACATTATGGGACGGAGGGAGTATATTTTAAAATTAATTTTTTGGACGAACGCAGAGCAGAGGATGAACTGCCCAAACAGAGTTCGACTCCTCCGATCTGCGTGGCAGTTCCCTGCGAAAGGGACGCGGGTAAACATGGAGTAGAAATCTGGCTGGTCTTGGACCACCAATGGAGGTAGTACCACAATAGGAGGACGCGGGTCAAGCTCCGACCGCTGCGAGCGGCACAGCTGTCGCCGGCGACTGAGCATGTACTATGAAAACCCTAGAACTACTTTTTGGTTTTTGTTCTACCATGCATCGAATCGAAGGGGCGGCAGCACACAGGAGGATGGATCTGTTCCTAAATTACAGAATGACCAATGGTGTACATTGCAAATTTGCCAATGGGAGGTAAGGCTGTGCCATCCTGTCCCTCCATTCCAAATCCAACACACCATACAGTACAGTATCACGGTATCATATGATGAACCGTAGCACCAGATATGGACTCCTTTCTCAGAGCTTTACACCAACAGAGTAAATATGGCTGTGCCTTCTTCTTTTTGAGCATCAGTATAGACACAAGCGCTCATATACACGTGCATACACTCATCCCTATGAACGCACACACGCACACCCTACCCTTATGAGCACCTCCAAGAGACTGAGCCGGCATATCATCTTGAGATTTACGAAGTCACCGTAGGCGCCTCGTCGTCGACGGGAACGTCTCCTCCCACTGAAAGCGCATCGCCGGAAATCCTGAAATAAATTCAGGAATAATGCGAGCACCAGGATTTTAATCCTGGTGGGTTGGGGATACCACTGTCCACCTAACCAACTCAACCACAGGTTGATTCGTAATATGGTTGTGCCTTCTTGTAGTCCGCATTGCACGTGCATTATGTGTGCGTCATGCACACATGTTGTCAAGAGGTGTTTCTCGTAATGTACCTAACAACAATGCTGAAGTCGCACATAATTTATATGACAGCGGGATGTCTCCTTCCATTAAGAATTGACGCGGAACACTAATTTTACCCAGGTCCGGGCCCCGCTACGTGAGTAACAACCATACTTCTACTTGTATGGGATTATATCAGAAATGGGTTACAATGATGAAGTACTACAAAGTTTATGGGGCGAGTTGGGGTGAACGATCGGATCCTCCGATTGTGCTCTAATCAGGCGAACCTGGAGATCTTGGCCAAGTTGAAGATGGAACATTCAGATTGCAATATCAGGAATTGCTATAGAATTGCTTCATTTGAATGGAATGACAACAGATTTGGATGCTTATGTACTGTATTTATTAATGCGGGTGACATACACTTCAGCTAAGTATATGCCAATAGCAGTTGCTTCACGCATGAGACTGCTTTGTAATACATCCCTTCTAAAACCAACCTTCAAACAACCATGGTTGGGATAAGGTCGGAACATTTCAGGCATGAACGGTAAATTCAGAAAATAGAAAAACTAATCAAAACATTTCGGCAAAAAATTGCTTCGAAGATGCTGAGTTTTTTAGGTGCGTGTACAATTTCACCAGCTCTGAAATGTCTATTCTTAAAAGTTTTTTTGTAGAGCCAATTTTTTTATGTTTATTTTCAAAGCTTTCTGTAGAGCCAATTTTGTTTTCCTTTTTGTTTACGACCATCACAGAGGACTCGTCTCCACAAAATTTTAAGCCTAGAACACTCAAACTACTAAAGCATCTTTCGTGCCAAAAGAAATCAGATTTTTTTATTTGTTTGCCATTTTTTTCGGTTATACTACTTCATGAGCTTGGGCTTCGAAAGCAATTACCAACCTATTTCATTCATCATACAATTAGAGCTTGTTCGCACTCTCTCCCCGCTCCAACTCCGCTCTAGAGCGGAGCAGCATCCAATTCAAATTTTCAGAGTCACTGAAGGGCCCCTCCGGGGTTGCCTAACAGGGCCTTAAGCAACACAAAGTCACAAGTTGCTGGTTAACTTACGTGCATCACTGGAACTAGTTTATCTTTTCGATAAAAGGGAGAAGGAAATATTTTTTCTGTTGTCCACATTCAACTATGAGAGCCATAATTTTTTTACTACATTTACAACCTAAATAACAACCTCAATCAAGTTTGCCAGCATGGGAAGACTTAAGAATCTTTCCCAGACTCACATGTCTGCAGACTGCAAATCAGAACTTGGTGTTACTGAGCACACAAAACATAGCAAGATGCTGGAACTGACCACACAAAAATAGTTAACCTAATACGTACTAGGCTGTAAGACTGTTGCCACTAAAAACACGGTAACATTCAGCTGCTACCCTATGCTATCCTTCGTAGAATCACTGAACCACACCTGTTGCTGCAAGCACTCAAGAGTCAAGAGTCAAGATATCAGGAGCGAAGACCTGGCAATCATACACAACTTAAAACAGTCCAAAGAAACGATGTCGCTCCTGGCTGCTGCTGCTGCGTCCTGCTGGAGTCACTGATATCCTGTCCGCATTGGCAAGCGCCCACCTGTTGAAATCCGGCGAGGAGAGTAACTGTTGCATACCCTTTCTTGTCTCTTCTTTGGTGAATGCTTCGTATTCCTCTTTCGTAAACTTTCTCCTCTCTGGGGTAGTGTGGTAGGTCGAATAGTAGCTGTCCCTATCAAGAACTTGTGACGTTGTTTTCTTCTGTGAGCCTGGAGAAGTAAAATCAAGTGGTACGCTAAGACAACAATAGTGAACTTGGGGAATCATGCGACAGAAGGATGGCAAACCTGAAAGAGGTGAATTTCTTCTTGGTGTATGTTTCAGGTATTCACCATGAAGCTTGCTGAACCCATCTTGGTGAGTTCCATTCGTGTTGGAATACCCTCCCAAATCTTCATAATGGGAGAGGCCACGTGTGATTCCCTTGGAAACTCCACTGCATAAAGATATTCATTCAGTCCCCTTTTTTGCAAGGAAAGATATATTCATTCTAGTTAGTTGTGACTTTCCAGGAGATGCAAATATTTCTTGTCGTGACAACTGACAAGAATGTTAATCAAACGGAAAAGGGCCACTTTCAAACCTGACCTATTAAACCATTTGAATTGCAACCTCGGACTATTGATACTGTCCACTTTATCCCCCAGGTCAATTCATTAGTGATATTGGGTGGCATGGTCAATATCCCTGCCACATCGTTCCCATGATCATTAAAATTCCATTCCGTATCCAATTTCTACTGCTTCATTCCTCCGTTCCTAGCATTCTTTTTGTGGAAGTAGTTTTATCTGAATGGTATAGTTTTTTTTGTAAGTGGGCCCCAATTGCTTCTGTTAAAACTGTGTTGGCCATGTCTAGACCCAGGAGCTTGCTAGCTTGCTCCTGGCTGATACCACCACCACACTGAGTTACATAAACCAGCTGGTTCACCCGAAAGACTAGAACCATGAGCATAAGTGGGCAATATACTTCAACTGTGTGCTCTTATAACAACAATAAATTACATACCTAGAGATACTAATATTAACAATTAACACTACTGATGAGCAGGAGTATACCACTATACCAGCTTCTGCTTAGCAATATTACGTAGGTTTAAAAGTTAAAACCATGAATAACAAAAGGCTGTAAGCCTGTAATTAGCAAGTTCGTATTCAACTTTAGATTATACTCCACAAAGGGGCATATACAATAATAATAGGATATACTACGCCATAATTCATACCTTGATAAATGGCGTATAAGTCGTGGCATCCCTTCAATCCTTGAAACTGTCTTGATGATTATGCAAAAGACTAAAGCTGCAAATGCAAGGAGATAGTCCAGAGAACTCTACAGGAATTGAAGACGCAAAACTGCCAGTCAGTGAAGTGATAACTAGTAGAATAGTCAGCAAACAGCCGACGTTACAAAAAAATACCTGGAGGATCAAGACAGCAGAAACAATCAAGATAGCCCACCCGACAAAATAGGCCACGCCAGCATCAACAGATCCTTCTTCCGTTAGAACAAGTTTACGGACACCCCAGAAACCAAACCAGGCTCCAGCTAGGATGACGCAAACGAGAAGGAATATACCTAGCTGCAAATGTATTTTACATGTTCTTATGTCAAATTGTCAATAGAGCAATGATCGAAATGAAACTCGAACAGAATAATGATGGTAAAACATTGATAATGCCTATATATGGTACTACAACTTAAAGAGACTGGTATAACAATGTAAAAACATTAACAATCCCTTTCTAGGGCAATATAGTAGAACCCGGCTATTAGACAACAGGAACTCAAAGAGACAAGCATTTGTAACATATTGAGAAGAATCGTAAACTGTAATTCGGTAGTACAGTTTATACTTCATAGTGATCTATCAAGAAAAAACAGAGAAAATATAAGCCTCAAGAATGTCAAAGTCATGGGGCAATTTAAATTGCTATGCCTTAAATAAGTGGCAATGTAAATGTAGGTGGAAATTAAACAAGCACAACGAACCATAGATGACACTATTCCTGGATGGAGAACTTACATACAGGATTATGCATGTCTTCAGCGATTCCCATTTCCACAAGAATTGAACGCAGCAGTCCCGACAAATAGTGCAGAAAATATGTTGTCATGCCAACCTGTTGTTTTGAGAAATTATCATGATGTCCAACAGTGTGAAAATGAAATTAGAGAAGAGAACTTTCTCAATGGTCAAATGAATACTCACAACTGAAGAGTACGCGAAAATAGCAAGCGAACTCTTTCTGCCAGTAGGCAAAAGCTTCATTCCCTGAAAGAAGATATACCAAAAAGAGGCAGGTAGTGAGAAACAAAAATAACAACTCGGAAAGTGCCTGCCTAACCAAGTAGCAGACCAAAAGACTTTACAAACCAAGCATGACTTCTGGGAAATTAGGCATCATAAACAGCACAAAGCATGTGAATACATTCAGGAAAAACAAATGAACAGGGAAAGAAAAGGAGGGAGATAATCTCCACCGAGCTGAAGGAAAGCACATGTTCTTGCAGGAGTCTGTCCAATAGTGCCATATATGCTACTCTAATTATCATGGCCCAACTGGTATTGTGAAGTACAGAGAATAAGAGAACTTCACTCAACCATTATGAAAACTGACTCATCCACCAATGCTAGTTATCTCTAGTTATGAGATTAAGTGGCACTCTACAGAGAACAGGGCATAGAGGAAGAGCTTACCTGAAAGAGTATAATCAGCACCACAAGGAAAATGCCGATCGTCATGGCGCCACCATAGTAGAACACCAGTGACTGGCTAAGCGTGTGCGCCAGAGCCATCAGCACCATCCCCAACACCAGGAACACCACCCTGTGGAGCAAGAACTCTGCAGAGACAAACACAAAAGCACCAATCCCCAAATCAACATCGCGCGAAACAGTTGCCATCAAGGTGCACATACAACAAGCAAAACCACGGAAATGCAAAGAAGAACGAGAACCACACACCTTCCTCCGTGGACACCACAACGGATCTCGAAGGGTCCGCGGGCATCCGGAAGTCGAGGATCCGGTGGTCGTACGGCGAGAGGGACTGCGCCCAGAGCCCGCTCTTGGGCACCTTGTGCCACTGCGACGCGGCGCACTTGCACGGACCAATCGTGGCATTTCTACAAACAGCACCACCACAAAATCAGGCCGAGAAGTGCAAGCACGCACGAGAAGAAGAAATGAAGGTAGGGTTTGAGTTCCTGATTCTCGCTTACCGGTGAAAGCAAAGCTCGAGGGCGTCGGGGCGGGAGGCGTTGGCGCGGAGCCGCAGGGCGTGGAAGAAGCGGGACGGGTCGCGGAAGCGGGAGGCGCGGCCGCGGAGGTGGACGCGCGTGCAGAAGGGGCCGCGGCCGTCCCCGGCGAGGGGTTCCGCCGGCGGGAGGCGGAGGGAGGCCGCCGGGTGCGAGGCGACTGCGAGACGGTTAGGGTTAGGGTTTAGGGGGATTTGGGGGGCGGGGTGCGAGGCACAGAGCTTACCTGTTAGCTCGGCGGCGGCGGCGGGGATGGAGAAGGCGCTGGCGGTGCCGCCGAGGAGGACGGCGAGTAGGGGGAGGAGGAGGAGACGGCGCGGCGCCGGCGGCGGCATGGCGTCGGCGGTGAAGTGGTGGATTTGGGGATTTTTCTGGGGGGAAAGGGAGGCGGGAGAAATCAAGTAGGAGAGGAGCGTGTGTGTTGGCTTTGAAACAACGCTGTCCGTGGGAGTCGGCAAGTCTGTCCGTTTATTTTTATTTTGCCTTCTCTCCTAAGTCACCTCTTCTCTTCTGAAGGCTGCTTCTCCAAGGAGGGAGAAGAGCTGCATCTATAGTCCGATTTGGCAAATTTGGTCCTCTAAATACCAATGGACAAGCCTTTGCAAGACCATTGGCACGGCAGCCCCTCAAAAGTTTAGCCGGACAGACACACCTTTTATGTCAAACCCTCGAATCCATGCACGTCGACCATATATAGCAGAAGTTTATCACAATTCAGCAATGCAACAAAGTAAAATAAATCATCCAAGAATTCGGACCATGTCAAAATGAAATTCAATGTCCAGGCCACGGCTGACCATTTGGCTTTGAAAGAACGTTGTTCGTGCGAGTCGAATGCAGCCAGGACCTTTTTTTCTTCTTTTGCTTTGCCTTCTTCTCGTAAGTCACATCCTCCCTGAGTAGGGAACCATGTGCTTCTGGAAGGGGAGGGGAGCGGCTTATGGAAGAAGTCACCAGAAGAATTGAACAAATGTTGCAAATGAGGGATGATACTCAAAAGTCAGGGCACCTGACCTTGCAAGAGCGCTGCTACGAGAGTGTCGCCGGTGTTGCAACGGTACATCTCATTGACATTGCGAGGACAAGCAGACTAGGGGAGGGGGGCTCATCATGAGCCACTGCCCACTGATGCAAGGCAGCTGATGTTGTTTGGTTGCATGACCAGTGCAGCGGGTGCTGCAATGGGGACACGGGTATAGAGTGGGAGCAGCGCTGCAAGCCAGGCACATAAGGATGTGTTGCTGCAACGAGAGGAGAAAGACATCTGATGACTCGCAAGCCAACCGATGCCTAGCTGTCCCCATATTATCACTTGCACTGTATGCAGCACTAGCCATATCTGATGGATCACTCGCATCAGAGGACATTAGAAACCTGAAGATCACAGACAAAGGAACGAGCAATTCATAGCCTACAAAATTCTGATAAGCGACAACCGTCGGATTTACAAAGTCGACAGACACAGGGATGAATGGTCCACATGCAGCAGAGTTATTTGTTTCAATATAGGATCCGCGCAGAAATATATGGTGAAAGGAAAATTTTAACTTGACAGCGTCGACGATACTGGTAAAGGTGGTACTTGAGATGGTACAGCAATCTCACTTCCCACCGAGGGTTGGGAACTGGTTCTGGTCCTGAATTGCCGGAGCAGGGGGTGGGCCGTGATAGCCCCCACCACCAAATCCGCCTCTGAAGCCTCCGCGGTCTCCACGGCCCCTGCCGCCACGGCCACGGCCACCATAGAACCTCTCTCCTTCAGCAGGCTTCAGGAACTCATTGATGCTCACAGACTACAAACGTCAGAGAACAATCCCAAGTTAGTAATTGTTATCTAGCAGGAAGACCAAAGTGCAGGCATAAAACTGGGCGCGCTAAGCACGAAAGGTAATTGCTGTTTTAACAACAGGACAGGGGAATAACAGATGAATCCAAGACAGGCAACTAATATGTCCAGAAAGGCCTACAATATAGCCTTTCTGGAGAGAGAAACAAGATTATGGCGTGCACAATGGTTCTATCTTAAGAGTACCACATAGGATAAATGATGAGGTGGAGGAGAGAGAAACAAGATTAAGAGATCTCTTAGCATAATATCTGCAACCACATATTTAAGAAATCTGGTTACTAAGATTATGCCAAGAGATAACCCTTTGTACATCATTTTTTATTGTCATATCTAAATTACATGGTGGCTTAAGATAAGACTAACTTTATCAACCACTGTGCATGCCCTAAGTGGTTATTGACAATGTGCATGCCCTAAGTGGTTATTGACAATATGTAGCACGATATCTAGTATCACAAACTGAGAATCAGAAAGTTATTGCAAGATTGCACCAGCATCACAACACTACTGTTAGTATTTAGCAGCTTGACAAGAGAAGTACAAATATTTCTAAATATTGCAAAAGATGTAATGTCAGACCTTCTTAGCACGCTCTTCACGTTCAGCATTCTCTTTCTTCTTCAAAGCCTCCTTATCAGCACCCTAAGGAAATACATAAAAAAAATCAATCACGAATCTCCAGTGAGTTAAGAGGCATGGAGTACAAGGCACAATGGGTTAACTTACCAGTTTGATGAAAACTTCATCATTTCCTTTCTTGGTGGAAAGTAGTTGCATAGCCTGCAGATCCTTATCAATTTCAACCTTCCTCTCTTCAGACTTCTTCAAAGCAGCAAGTGCTTTCCTCTTCTCCTCCATTACTTTCTCAAATTCATCAAGAGTCATCTCCTAAGATCATCAAACATTTCATTCAAATGATTGCAACAAATATAGGTATACTCTTCCTTCTTTAGAAACAAGCATATGCATACAGCATGACCGCAACAGATATATGATACAATAATACAAAAAGGAAATGTTTAAATACAATGAGAATGGCTGGATAAATCATGTCTGAAAAGAGCTATTGTGTGTGAGTTGCCTGATAAAATGTACATGTGTGTAATAATCTAATAATCACTCAGCCACCACGAACACGAACAGAAGAAATAGCCATAATCAACATTAATTTGAAATTCAGACAACGGTATTGCATATCACGACCAGACTGACAAACTACTGTAATTATCTGTTGGTCTATTAATATCAAAAGCAAGGTGAAGAAATTAGCAAGTCCTTCCAAAACAGATATTGTACATGATCAGTGAAGTGAGCAGAGCAAAAGCGTATTGCAAACTGCTATGCTCACTTCTGTCAGTCCTATAAGTACATACCAAATGCAAGGCATAGCAAATGGCAACTTTGGGGATGTTACGATTCCAAACAAATCAATTACACAAGCATGCACTTGTGAATGCACTAATTGAACACTCAAAGAGAAGTATTGCAAAAATCTCACTGGCTCACAGAAGACAACAAGATTACAAAGTTATCTCTATATTTAAAAATCCATAATAGATAGAAGAATGAAAATTCCAAGCTATCAAAACATGCAAGACATAATAGTGTGTATGAATTAAAGCAAATGCATGCTGCATAAGACTCAATATGACTGACAAATCATGAAGCAAAACAAAACAAAAAACAACGGGGCGAGCTATGTAAAATACCAAAAGGATAGCTATAACTAGACTTAAAAGTAGCAAGCCAAAACCCACACTTCATTCAAGTTGAGAAGAGAACTAAATGTGCATGTTATTATGCCTTAGAAATATAACTATAACTAGACTTAATATGACTATAACTAGACAACTTTATCAAAAAATTATCATTCATAAGGACCACAGCGTGAAGGAAGCATACATTATCCTCTTCCTTTTCTTCTTCCACAACTGTGGCGCCATCTTTGGTGGGCTTGTTCTCATCTGCCTGTGGTGCATCCTCCGGTGCGCCCTGCTTCTCAGGTGCAGGGGCCTTCTCATCCTGCTTCAGGGCCTCAGTTTCCCTGGTCACCAAAACAACAACACAGGTTACCTCCCATTTCACCACTCTGCATATAAATAGCCTACATCATGGAGCAGAGAAGGAGATATCTTACCGGGCGACAAATTCATCAGAGGTAGTTCCCCAGTTCCCACGGCCAGCACCCTCGCGTTTTATCTCATACCCACGGCCTGTGCCGCTATGGCGCTCATAGTTCCTTCGAGGTGGCCTCTCAGAATCATCACCAAACTCGCCTTCACGATACCCACCACGACGGCCTCCCCCCTGGTAGGGTTGCCGAGGGGCCCTCTCTCTGTCCTGGGCGCCTTCCTCACCTCCAGTTCTGGCACCATAACCTCCCCTGTAGCCATTTGTGTCTTCACTGCCGTAGTCGCGATTCTGACCGTACCCTCCTCGGCCACCTCTGCCTGAGCCACGTTCACCGCGACCATATCCTCCACGAGAGGGTGGACCACCACCTCGGGAGTCATTGCCTGAAAAACATACACACCATCAGGAGTTAAACCCCAAAAAAATAGTCTTTCATGGCAGCAATGTCTAAAACTGAATCAAAATCCCAACTTCACAACGATTCTTTAACAGAACGATTTTTTTTGTGTGATTTCAGATACTAGCAACTAGAGTATCGCACAGCAGTTGATCGATGGCCACCCTTTCCACGAAAAAAAAAGCATCCCCGCAGACCCTAAACCCCAGATCCAGCATCTCCGCAACTCGCTACTAAACCCGGACCCTGGACTTACCAGCCTGACCAGGCGGAGGCGGCTTGGTGGGCAGATTGGCGACCGTCTTCGCGCCGCCCTTGCCGGCGGCGGGCGGCGCGGCGGCCTTCTTGGCCTCGGCCTTCTGCGCCAGGGCGGCCGCCTTGGCCAGGAGCTGCGTGGGGTCGTCGCCCTCGTCGTCGCCGAGGAGGTCAAAGGGGTTCATGGTCGCCATGGACGGCGGAAAAAGTCGGGTCACTCTGCGCTCGCTCGCCGGGATTTGTGTGTGGGGTGACCGGGGAACTGCCCTTCTCGCTACCAGTCTCTCCTGCCGGACTTCTGCATCGCCATCGCTCGGCCCGGGGAGGATTCGCGCGAGTCTGAGGCTCAGATGGCGGCGGCGGCGGCGAGGGGATGGGGACGGAGCAGGTGGGAGAGGGGGGGTGTGTGGGAAGACGAAGAAACCCTAGCCGCACTATCCCGGACTAGTACTAGTGCCGCGAGTCCCTATCCCCTCGCTGTCGTCCTGCCGGCCGAAATGACCGCCGTGCCCTCGCGCCGATGGGCCGTTTGGCTGGAGGGCGCCCGGGGATTTGGGGTGATTACGGGATTTCACGGGTCGGGTGGGGCCCTCGGCGCTCGTGGGGGCGCTGGGCCGTGGGATTCCGATCGAGCGGCTGGGATCGCCCCGCGGGGGGTCGCCTGTCGGCGTTGCGGTATTCCTCGCGGTGACCGCTCACTCGCGACTCGCGAATCGTGGCTTTAATCTAATTTTTAATTGAAAAATAATGCCTGTTGATGTACTACAGGGTTTTGGTGACCAGGCTGCAGGAATCTTTGAAAAAAAAAATCAAAATTCAATCTTTTTAATTTTGTAAAATTTTAAAAAACAACATGCAAGTGTACAAGGATGAAATGTATATCTGTGTAATAATTTAGGATGAAATACCTTGAAATGCGATATGTACATAGAAAAGAACAAATTCTTGAGGATGAATAGTGCTTAAAAGCCCCATGTTTGTTTTTTATGCACAACACTCATTTCAACGTGCTTCTTCTTGGAAATTTACACACATGTACATTGTGCCTCCATTTTGAAACATAGAAATATGAAATTTGGTGAATTTTAAAATTTGCAAATGGAGGCCTCCGTGGAGCTCGGCCTCCAAAAGCAATTTTCGGTTCTACCCATCGGTTCTAGCCACTAGAACATCCCACATTTGATTACATAAGGTTTATATAGAACTAACGGAGACCCAGACCAAGTTCACGAGCTTATTATCCTAAGTCGTAACAAATGTGATAGGATTCTTTTTCGACGTCCTCATGTCCCCCCGAGATGAAACAAGAAAATCCAAATCTTAACTCTCCCGGGGTAGAACATCTAACAAGGATACATATAAGTGAATAACCAAATTTATGTGCCTACTCGATCATGTAATAGTATGCACGAACCTAAAGAAAGAAATATGTGCAACACCTGCATGTATAAATAAATACCATAGCACTGATGATAGGGGGAACTTACATCTATATGAAGTTTGTTCATTGCAATTTTTCTTCTTCCTTGTTGATGATCTTCTGGGCTTCAAAGAACTTTCAAGTGTTTTGCGAGCCTTCACATCCTTTCTCGGTTTTTCGCGGAAAATCTCATGCTACGAGGAGAATTAGCTAAATATAAGCACCAAATATCTATAAATTGGTTTTTATAAGAATTTAAAAACTTTAATAATGTCAAAGCAATATATTGTTTGATAAACCTGAAAATTCAAACATTTGGACATGTATTTTTTGACTAATTACATAATATATTCACAATATACATAACTACAAACAACACAACATATTATGCAGATTTTTTTTACACTTTTAAGCTGACACATTTATGATATTCAGTTATCATGCTATGCTGGTCTAAGCAGCAAAATGTGCAATATCAGTACCATGGAGACACCGCTCTTACAGGAAGTTTTGTAGGTTGTTCAGAGATACCAACACACCAGTAAAGAAAAAGAATGGTGGTTAGTTCCAAGTACGGTCTAATGAAGGTAGACCAAATGCATGCATATGTTAGAAAATGAGTTCCTTTTGTTATATTATTAAATTACATTACATTTGCATCGAAAAAGCTATGTTTAATTATGGTGTCCACACAATGAAAAGAAAAGTAACATTATTTGTTATTCCAACCTATGATGGATATACCTTTTGGCAGAATGGTTTGACACATAATAATTTTTGTATCAATATAGTCGAGGTACACACACATTTGTATGATGGGGGCGGGGGCAATCCTAAAATACATGGTTGCAAAAAACGAATCAAGGATAGTCATTTGGATATGGCACATGGAAAACATAGAAAACTACATCGGTCATACATGAATCTTCCATGAATAAATGAACATGTGAAACTAGAATGATAACTAAATTCCTACAAAATGAGAAGTAGAAGAATGCATTCCATAAGGATCTGAAAGCATCAACACTATGACCCGACCTCAATAAAAGATAGATCAAATGATCATAATCATATAAAAATATATATTAGAAATTAAGCCAGCCTAACTTGACTATTGATTTCAAGAATAACACAAAAAGCAAATTGCATGATAACAACGTCAAAAAGATTTTCGATCCACAACTTTTGGAATATACCTTATTATTTACACATGAAAGGATGTGTGCATGAAGTATATATTCACATTTTAAACAGTATAATATCAAAAAAGGTCAACAATGCATCTTCTTCTAAGGCAAGTGAAGTCTTTAAAATGAAAACTTTACTTTGAGATGAGATAATGTTGGAAGACCATGACTGGGATAAGAGATTATGTTGGAATGTTACCATGTCAACAGACTTCTCAAAATTGTACACTTCATGCACACTTGCCCTCTGAACAAGTGCATGTTTTTTAACTTCCCCAGTGTTAATGTAGTGAGTTGCATAATTCAATGACCTGAATACTTTATGGCTAACAGGATCCGTGAAGTACTGCATCATTAATCATGATCAAAAATTGAAAAATATTTCAACAAAGAATGAAGGAAGGGTTTTATTTTTAAATTTATATACCGAGTCTTTCCTTATTCTTTCCTTTGATTTTCTGTGTACGACCTCTTTGACCCATCCTTGTGGCAGCCCGTGTGCGTTGAACTCCACTGTTGCTAGAATCTACAAAGTAAGGCATCAAAGCTTTGGGAAGTCAATTCATCATAGACATAAATAATTGCTTATGTAGGGATAGTAAGAAATGCACATTATCTTGAGAGTTTGTGTCACATTGCCCATCTGTATCACATTTGAATATTTTCCTTTCCTTAGTATAGAGTAGTACATCCTCTTTAGAAAATACTCGTACTTCCAATGGTGAGAAAAGATAAAACTGCAAATAATAATAATACAATCAAATCAAAATTATTTACAAAAGTGAGTAAATTATCATCTTGCCATTTTTAGTTAGTATTTTTCTAGGGCGTGTGAAGGGGATAAAAACTACCTTGTACATCTTCTCCATCTTTTCTCCCCCTGCTCTGACCTCTACCAGCCATCCATCTGGAAGCCATTCGTGTGCCTATGCATATAATGATAGAATGATATAGATAATGGATATAAAAATATACAATGGCCTCGTCATAGTAAGAAAACATACATGAGGCGTGCTACAAGCAACACAATCATTAGATTCGATGTAGTGTTCCTCCATCTCGGAGAAAAGGTAGTCCATGACCTCTTCCTTCAACCTGAACTTGACCCCCGTGACTGGAGATATGAAATACTAAAAGGAAACAAAAGTAAAGGAAAAAATAATCACATATCTCTAGTAGACAAACTAACAAAATCTAGAAAAAGCATACAAACTTGTATAAAGAATGAACATGTGTTTGATCTATCTAACAGCATGTATTTGTGCATATGTTTGGTAGTACACATCATACCTGGTAGAGGGCGCCATTATCATCACGTCTGACCTCCATGATCCAGCCATCTGGGAGCCAATCTGGTGGCTGCTCCATCCCATCTTCCAACTTCTCCTTAACATCCTCCAGTAGTGTCACTCCTTCATCATCTGAGATTGAGTCTTCCATCCTAAAACCCTCAAACTCGAGACCTTCTCTTTCAAACCCTTGTCTTGTTTTCTCGGATCTAAAAGAGCATGAGAACGAGAATGTTGGCAAATCTGGGAGTGGCTAGAAATCTAAACTTTTTGGTGGTAGGAATTCGTCGCCGTCGCCGCGACTCGATTAGGGCTAGAGAGCACACCAATCACCCACGATTTCTCTGTTCGCTACCTTTTATAGACTGATCTTATTTCCCTCCCTGGCTTGGGCCAGCGGCTATGCTAGATGGGCTGCTTGGGCCAGTTAACCACAAGAATAACTGCCCTTAGGAAGCCATGGGGATGGCCATGCTCAAGCTAATTCTATGGCTATCCAATGGACATAGATGGCCATGGCATGTGATCTGACGGCTAAAAAGGCTAAATGCATGAGAAGGCTAGGAGAGTGCCCAGTTTTACTGTTCTAAATGTGCAGGACCATTGTTGTGAATCATGTGAACAACATCGAGTGACATGTTATGATAGATAGTACAGTAGACAACTCATATAATGGGGTGGTTGGAGCATCCGAATTTGGATTTTAGACTTTGGCGGGGATTTGTAAAAATTGGAACAATGTGGAGAAGAAAAATAAGCTGTAAAACATCAAGGAAAAAAGGTTGAATTCCTTACCAAAAGTGAAAGATTTGTTTCCACTTGTTAAATAATGAGATGGAGTATATATTTGTTTTCTGAATCAAATAGAGTATAACTCATGTTCATATTTTATTCATAAAATGTACCCCCTTTTATTGTGTATGTTCGTTACTAGAAAAATAAATGTTTGTATGTATGTGCATATCATATTGATTTTTCACTAATTCTTGTGGCCAAAGAATTATATTTTACAATGTTGATGCAGATAAGTCTTTTCCATGTCATGCACTTGCCATGTCATTTAGATATAAACTCATAGCAAGTTTTACAATGCATCGTGCCAAGTTTGATGAACGATCTCTAAGAGGGAGTTATGTTTGATAGTTGGGTTCAATTTGCAAGTAAGCTACCATAGTGACATAAAGTGAAAAGGGCATGTATTGTATTGTTGCCACTAAGAATAAAAGGAGAGTTGCGAGTTGTCCTTTAAATGCAGTGCGAAGACAATATATTATCGAAATTATGTCGTCTTACTTGAT